CCGAACATTGTAGGCTTTCAAGTATCATCATCACATCATTTAACCACATATCATACTCCATCAGACCTCACCTTCATCTCCGCTAAATTTTAGAGCTCCCAAACTTTTCAACTCCTTTGGAATCAACATTTGAGGTACTGTAGGAGAAGAGGGGTTGAAATCGAGTCATCATAGCATCAAGGGCTTGCATGAAAGTTCCAAAATTAGGTGCTAGAATCCCTTGAGGTGCAGATGCACTTGCATTTCAGAAGGAAAGGGCTATGCACTGTTATCCTCATAACTTTCACTCCCCGTTCATTTCTTGTTCCCCCGCTCTTCGTGAATTCGAGGATTCTACATCTAATAAAACATACATAATGATAACATTATCATTATTAACATTCAACATCATCTTAGTAACATTATCATCAATAAGGAGTGTTATCAACCATCCACTAATGAAACCACCTCATAACATTGACACCTTCATTGGCATGTAATTCTTTTTTTTATTTTAAAGAAAATATGACTAATTTTCCCAACATCGGCTAAACCTATAGCTCTGATACCAATAAATAACACCCATATTCAATATACGGTTATGTATACAATGCAAATGTCACATTACTTATTATACAATATACTCGTCTTGAAAATCCTTTAATATTTTATTGCAAACTTAATTTCACATAAATAACATCATAAAACTACAAGTTCATTAAACATATTACAAAATATTTTGTTATGTTGGATTACATGCCAAATAGGTCAAAAAAGGAATATCAAAGTCCTAATGTTACTGGCGAGTCAACCTTAGTAGATTAGGTCTGTTGCTACAGCTTCACTCCATACGGGATGATTATCTGCTGTTACCTACACGTGAAAATACACATGATAAGTATATATTAGTAAATTATGATAGATAACCTTCAGTGTTCAAACACATTTTATTTCCATTTATCAAAACCATTTGTCATAATTCTTTTTTTTTTGTAACCTCCATATATGTTTATACATCATTATACATTTTAAAGTATAACATTTTTCTATTGATATTGCACTATGCATTTCAACTATTGTATACTTTTATGTTGATGATGTACCCATATACATCTCAACCATAGTATACTTTTCTATTGAGAATATACCTATACATTTCAACTCTAGCATACTTTTCTGTTGATAATGCACCCATATGCATTTTAACTCTAGTATACTTTTATGTTGATGATGTACCCATATACATCTCAACATAGTATACTTTTTCTGTTGTGAATGTTCCCAACCATAGTATACTTTTCTGTTGATAATACACCAATATACATTTCAACTCTGGCATCATTTCATGCCGATAACGCACCCATATGCATTTTTTCTTCTTCTTTGATAATATTATAGAACAGTTCATACTCTAAAACCTCATTCACAACATCAATTTCATATGTTCCATCACATTATAATTTTGGTAAAATATACATTAACATATAAATATTTCATTCTAAATAATTGATAATCATATTATCTAACTTACATAGAATAAAGGTACTCACCTGGCTCGCCTTGCTTAGCTATCCAAAATGAGAAGATACTTATTCCGGAACTTGACCCTTGCCTTTCGACTTACTCGGTTCAGGAGCTTGTTTGCGATCTATTCCACATTCATTAAAAACATGCATAATATCAATTGTTAGTATGTTTCCTAACAATTGTTACATAACATCAATCAAAATATTTATTATTAACTTCCTACAACATTATCAACACCAAATTAACTTTTTTGGCCCTTAGGTATCGATAACCTTGCTTATGGTATCGATACTACCCTATTAGGGTATCAAAACCCCCTTAATGCCTCGATACCTAAATTAACTTCGATATAGGCTTGTATCGATATCCTCACCATGGTATCGATACCCCTATACTATGGTACCGATACCTCCTCTAGGTATCGATACCCAATTTAGATTCGATATTTACGGGTATCGATACCCTTACCATGGTATCAATAACCCTATGCTTGGGTACCGATACTTGTTGAATAAGTATCGATACCTTTGATATAATTTAGCCTAATTTCTTGCCTAGGGTATCGGTACTGTTCCATAGGGTACCGATACCTCTAACTAGATTTTCCAATTTTTTTTCTGAAATTTACCCAACTTTGGGCCAATTTTCATCTCCTTTTCTCCTAACCATACTATATAATACTTCACTACTTAACCTTACTAACTCGCCTTCATTTAACCACTCAAAACATCTAATATTCATCAAGAGCATTTGATTTTAAGAATCACACCATAATTTCTAACATGTTATTCTCTCAACCAATTCTTCTAATCTTTTTTTACCTTAATGACAAGTCAATTTTACCAACAAACCTCAACCAACCTTCATATATTAACATATCATTATAAAACCCATTTTCTTTAATCTTTAATATTTCATTCTTAACTTAGTTTTAATCCCTTCTAAACCTTTATTAAGCTTCCCTTATAGTCAAAGATTTGATAGCTAACAACAATTGAAAAAATAAATCATTAATTTGAAACTTACCTTTAACTAGGGTTGAGAGCTTTCTTACGTAAAAGAGGAAGAAGAAAGAGTATTTGACTTTTCTTCCTCTCTATTCCTCAAAATATATATATATATATATATATATATATACTAAATAAATGAATTATAAATTCATTTATTTCTAAATACCCAAATATGTCCTTTTTAATCTTTCCTCTTTACAATTTAGTCTATACTACTATTCCTATATATTCTCATCTTTATCAATTAATCAATTTAGTCCTCTATATTTTTAATTCATTTCAATTTAATCATTGTCCTATTATTTGGGGTATTACATATCAAGCATTTTTTTAAGCTATAGATTGAGAAGATTAAATTAATTTTACAACTAGTGCAAATCTTGAAACCAATAAATGATCAGCTGCCTAAAATAGCATAGAATTGATTTCCAAACAGAATGATTTACTTTGATGACATAATTGTTAATGACGATATACTACAATGATAGCAAATGAAAGAATAAAGGGCATAGACAACAACGACAATGATGGAGAAAAGAAAACAACAAATTCGTCACCATACCTAAACACCAACCAAAATGATCAATTTGGGTATTCAGCAAAATGGGAAAAAGGAGTCCATAGATCAACAATTATTGTCAAAAATGATCACACCCAGATTGTCTTAGGCATTCAACCAAAATTTAAAGCTGTCTACTAAACATATTTAAGGAAAACATAAAGAGGACGAACGAGAAATGAGAAAATTAGGGGACACCTTCGATGTATTATGTTTTGAAGTGACTTTGCACTTCGTTTCTCTGTTTTTGTGATGGATAGAATTGAGAAAGGTCAGCTTTCTCCCCTTATTTTTGATGCAGTTGTTGAGTACTTGGATCGGTAAATACTATTGGGTGCTGCTTATGTTGACTTTCTATATGATAGAAATGAAGCGGGGACTAGTGGAAGGAGAAAAGACTGGGAGGGACAAAAATGGCAAATTACATGTAAATATTAGGGACTTGGGGTTTTAATTGCCCCAACCTTTAATATTGGACAAATTACATGGTTACTTACTGAATTTTACTCTGTCTTGCTTCACTTACCGTACTTTCAATTTTTTTTCAATTTACTCACTGAACTTTAGACATTGAACGGTTTTTGTCATTTAGCCGTTAATTTTTTAACAGTGTTATGATGTGACAATCAATACCAAAACAATATATTTTTGGTTCGAAAAATTTTAACCAAAGCGATGTAGTTTTGGTTTTAATATTTTTTTCTTTTTTCCTTTCATTTTCTGCTCTTTCCTTATTTGTTCTTTTTCGTCTTCTCATCTTCTCTCTTTATTTGCCTCTTCAACCTCGATAAACCCATATTTCGGCTACCACGTCAACCATTAAAAAGCGAAAATAAAGTTAAGAAACGAAATGAAAATTAAGATGAGAAATTGTATTAGCTACTATTAGGTTATTCTCCACCATTGTAAAATACTAAACGAAAATGAAGATGAGAAATTCCTCCATTAAAAAGAACAAACTTGTTGGCCACAAGCCCATAACCATACCCCACAATTACAAGAAAAAATTTAGAAGTAGAAATCATAGATGAAAGCATGACCTTAAGAAAGGGACACAATCAATCCTTTATGATAAAACACAAACACTTCCACCAACTTGCCATTATCATAAATCTTTCTACAAAAGGGTAACCCTTAATTCAATTTCTAACTCTCAAATATCTTCATTTTGGGTTTCTACCCATAGTTGGAAACATTTAAGAGAGAAAAAATGTGGCGTATGCTGGTGGCTTTGCGACAGAATCTTCAAAACATCAAGAAATATGGCAGATGAGAACATGATGATCGGAACGGAGGAAACAATAATGGAAGCAAGATGTCGAGTTTCGTAGATAGGAGATTAAATAATTTTTATGTGATTTGCAGTGTTGTTAAAAGCTCGTTTTACAGTGGTAATTTGCTTCTTTCAACCCCATGTTAATGACGTTGATGGTGTCTGAAATTTAGAAATTTCAGTCATGAACGATCCTTGTGTTCATGGAGGAAGAACAAAAAGAAGCTATTTTTTCTTCTTTATCTTTACATTCTTATAACTGTGAAAAAGTAGTTCGGGAGGAGCATTAAGATGGTTTTGTTGATTTGAATATGATAAGATTTTCTTATTAAATGGTGGTTGATGAGGTTAAAATTTGAGAAGATTAATAGTAAAAACGTGGGTTCTTATCAAATATTATAATATAAAATAAGTCACATAATTACATCATTAATGAATAAACGGTCGAATAATTAAAAATGTTTAATATCTAAAATTTAATGAACAAAATAAAAAAATTAAAAAACGGTAAGTAAAACGATAAGTGAAATAAGAAAGAGTAAAATTCAATTAGTTTCTTTTGCTTCATAAAATTCCTACTATTTTTTCCGACTTTATTTGTATCGACCATTGAACTTGGAGTTGCGATTCCAATTGTTATATTTTCATCATCATGTCATCTGAATCGGAAGAGCAGCAGCTGAGCAAGAAAGCTGCCAAACAGGAGAAGTTGCGCCGCCGCCAGGAAGCTGCTGCCTTGGCCTCAGCGGCTTCTTCTCTTTTCGTCGAGGAGGATGATCCCTATTCCTCCAACTATGGCGATGTCTCTCTCTACCGGAGCTAAAATCTTGCTCCCAAACAGATGCTGGCCAATGTAGCCTAGTCATTTCCTCCATGGAATGGACACCTGTTGGAGCTCTTACCCAGGATTTGAAGGAGAAAGAGGTGCTTATAAGGGAACGAGTTCACATAACACGACCAGTGTCGAAGAATATGGCGTTCGTGGTGGTGAGAGAAAAGGGATTTACCGTCCAGTGCTTGATCACTACGCAAGGAGAGGGAGTTAGTCGTCAGATGGTGAAGTTTGTAGCTAGACTCAACCGAGAATCCATCGTTGATGCAATCGGTGTGGTATCTGTCCCTGGGAATCCCATCAAGGGAACCACCCAGCAGGTACCGACTTTTCTAATAAAGCTTTTCTTTTTCTTTCCTTATTTAACTGAAACAAAAGAAATGAAATTCAGATATTCATTGATGTACCTTTACTTTTTATTGTTCAAGGTCGAGATTCATCTCAGCAAATTGTACATCTGTATTATGGTTATATGCAGGGCCGGTCATGATATTTTAAGGGTCCTAGGCAAAATAAGAGATAAGGACCCTTAAAAAAATAACTTAAAATTCAAGAATAAATTTCGGTAAATGCCAAACAAATTTTTTCATTAAAAATTATACGAGTAGATTCTATTACATTAACCAACATTATTTTACCAAATATATAAAGAGATATCACAATTTTTCACTCAATTTACTCCTATATGTCTTCAATCATCTCTTAGAATCATTTGTCTAATCGAAAATGACGCCTAATTCATAAGAAACAGTTTCTTCTAGTATTTTGAGATGCAAAGTCATTGATAATAACATCAACATCAATGTTTCCTATCATCCTCTCAATAGCAATGTTGCTAAACCATTCAACTTTTCTTGTGACATTGATGACCTCAAGTACGTTTTTATTAATTTAAGCTTTAAGAAACTTCTTTCGGCTGAAGCTATGGTCAAACCAATAGATAATAAAATCCTATAAGCAATTGAAGCAATCAAATAACAATATGCATATTTGACAAACTTAAGAATTTCAGTGGCGGATAACAATTCTGTCGACAAAGTCATTGTAAGACTTTCAATTCAGAGAAAAGATCATCTAAGTCAACATCCGATGAATTGCCATGAGAAAAGGTAGAATGAAAATGAGCACACATTCTTTCAACTCATTATCATCTAATGACTTTAACTTATTTGAATCATATAAAAATCCAAAAATACTTTCAAATGTCTTCAATTGCTCAAATCTATTCTTCAAAGAAGTAATTGCCATATCTACCACAACCAAAAAATAATTGACTCTAAATGACTCTTCAGGCGATTCAACTTCGTTATCCTCATTATTCTCTCAAAAAATTTCTTCCTAATCACACGACGTTTTGTGGGAAATATAGGCTCCACATCCATTTCAAGTACAAGACTATTAGCTACATTCATACTAGTTGTAAAGCCTTCATCTCTATATTTTTCAAAGTAGGACATCACACTTCTAATTGCCTTATGGTAGTAGCAATGCACATAGCCGTAGATTGTAATTTCTTGCTTACCATATTAACAGCAAATAAAATGTCATACCAAATCACAACACCAAGCAAAAACTCAAAACTTGAGAGTGCATTCACCAAACTTTCATCTTCACTTTTTGACTTTGCATCATTTTCACAAGATTCATATAATTCACACAAAGCCAATCTTATTTGGGGACATTGAAATCTAATAGCTTTGACACTTTTAATTCGACTCTCCCATCGAGTATTTGATAAATATTTCACAGTTAATCCAGGAACATTATCAAGTAAAATTTTCCATATCTTTGTAGAACCCCGAAAACAATGCATATATGCATTCAACAACTCCAAAAAAAAAAAGAAATAGCTTTAACACAAGAATGTGCCATATCACCAAGAGTGAGATTTAGACTATGACAAGCACAAGCCATGTATAATGCTTTTGAATTAATTTCAATAATTTTTTTGAACACCTTGGTAATTTCCTTTCGTATTAGAACCATTATCATAATCTTGTCCCCTCACATCATCAACATTAAGATCAAGAGACTTCAAAACATTTTATAGTTCATTAAAGATTTCTAATCCAGATGTATCATCCACTTTTAGAAACTCCAAAAAGAACTCCTCGATTTTAACTTTGTTGTTTAATATATTAACACATCGAACTATGAGGGTCATTTGTTCTTGATGGCTCACATCAGGCGTACAATCAAGAATTATGGAAAAGTATTTACCCTCTTTAATATTCTTAATGATAGAATTTCTCACACTTTGAGACAAAGGGAAATAAACTCATTTTGAATTTATGTCCAAGATAATGATAATGAATTCACGATCCTGAATGTGTCTAACATGATCTTGCATAATCACATCAAACTCTGCAATCATTTCAATCAATCCCAGAAAATTACCATTTTATCTTGATATAGTTTTCATTAGATCCTCGAAATGCAAGATTATGTTAGCAAGACATTTCACAACTGAGAATATTCTTTGTAACACTTGTCTCCAAGCTCTTTCTCTTTCATAATCTCTTCTTGCAAATTTTTATCGATTTGATTTTTATCCAATCTTACTCTCAATCCATTCCAAGTATTCATATTAGTCATATGTTCAACACTATTTCATGTTGTTTATGTCTTTGCCTATTATGTTTCCAATCACTTATGTCATCATTTGCTAACAAACTTACATTACTAATCGATTTGAACAACTTGCAACAAAAACAATATACTTTGTCAACATTTTTGGAATAAACTAACCATTTTCTATCACTAGTCTGACCATTGCTCAACTTTCTAGAATAACATGCATATGAGAAATGTCTATAATATTTATCAACAGGAAATTCAAGATCCATTTCTCTTATGGGCCCTTTTTCAACTAATATATCCTTCGCATTATTGTCAAGATTCTTCCAATTTATAGGGTCATATATTAAAATGAGGAAGTGTCTCTTCACCAATGCCTAAATTTTCAACATTTCATCAATTGACATATCATTAAAGTCAATTGGATCATTCACTTCATCATTCACATTTTCAGAATTTCCAGGATTTTCAGTATGTAAATTTTCAGTTGATGATTCAAAGTTTCATGAGAAACCTTTTTAAACACAAATTTATCAAGAGCACATTTTTTTGACTTCTTTAACTCCTCCTCTCGCTTCTTTTTTTCTTTTTTCACTTCTAGACAAATTTTTTAGGCAACATCTCATCAAAGAGTCAAACACAAACTAATTCTAATAAATAAGTATAAGAAAAGAACAATTGCACATGGATTCTTCAATTATAATTGTAACACATTAGAGTAAGATAAAATCCCAAACTCCCAATTTGATAATTGACACTGTTGACATAAATATTAATAATTATAACATGAACAGTGAACACCAAAATAAAAACATCAAAAAAACATCAAGCAAACAGAACCTTAGCAAATTGTATCAATCATCCTTTTAAAACATTTAAGTTATAACAAAACTTTACTACACACAAGACAAATCATAATTTAAAACCAGAAATATATGCCAAATAAAAGCAAGCAATAACTATTTATTTATTTTCCTTATTTTTGCTAATTTTTCAAAACTAAAGCAATAAACTTCGTTTATTTTACCATTCCCATCATTTATAGATCAAAGATGCAAAATATTAATATTAGTGTAATAAGAGCACTGGTTAGCGTAAAATACTTCTTCAACTCACTAACCACAAGGATTTATCTATTCGAAACAATAAACCAGAGAATCCATATCTAAAATATGATTCAGAAAAAAGAAACAAAATTACTTTTAAACAAACCGAGAAGCGAAATCGAGAAATCTGAATAAGAAAAAATGTATAAAAAAGATGTCGGAAAGTGGAAACCAAACTGTGATGGATGGGCAATCAAATCGGAACAAGGAGATAATAAGAACGTACCTGATTTTTAGGTAATGAAAATTCAGAAAAATAATAAGGAATTAGGGTTTTCTGAAAGGAAATTAATCGGCAAGGAGAGAACCAAAAATGAACAGGCAAATGGTGACGAATGGACAATCAAATCGGAACAAGGAGATAAAATTATTATTATTTTCAAGAATGGGACCTTTCAAACTTGGACCCTAGGCGGTCGCACTCCATGCCTGGGCTCAGGGCTGGCCATGGCTATATGCATGTTTATTATCACTCACCGTCTTTCCTTTAATCTACTACAAAGTGGGGATAAACTTCCTCGTGTCAATCAAGATACACGTTTAAACTTAAGAGTTCTTGATATTCGAACCCCTGCTAATCAAGGGATTTTCTGCATCCAGTGCCAAGTTGGAACCGTAAGTCTCAGAGGCTTTGGTTTTCATTCACCATTGTTTAATATAGTCTCTAATCTCTAAAGGTTATAACTGTTTGTTTTATTTTATTGTTTTCATCTTATATCTAAACTGCTAAATATTTCCTTAAACAAATCCAAACATTCTGTAGATATTTAGGCAATTCTTGTTGTTTGAGGGTTTTATTGAAATCCACACGCCTAAACTGATAGCAGGCTCTAGTGAAGGTGGTTATGCTGTTTTTAAGCTTGACTACAAAGGGCAACCTGCATGTCTGGCACAGTCACCTCAACTTCACAAGCAGATGGCAATCTGTGGGGATTTTGGGTGGGTTTTTTAGATTGGCCTTGTTTTCAGAGCTGAGGACTCATACACTCATAGGCATTTGTTTGAATTTACAGGTCTTGATGTTGAAATGGAGATTAAGAAGCATTACTCTGAGGAATGATTGGTAGTTGGCTTGAGTCATGTCTCCTGAATCTTCAATATGGTTTAATGGATATTTGATCCTCTATATGCAGGTGATGGACATGTGGACAGATTGTTTGTTACTATGTTTGATGGTTTGAATGATAGGTGTCAGAAGGAAGGGAGGGCAGTATCCCTTTGAACCTTTGAAGGTCTATATCCATTTTCAGTTCTGCAATACTTATATAGCTATTAAGCTTCTGTACTGTTTGGAAAATTAAATAATCTCATGTTAGTCTGTTAAATATTGTTGGAATAGAAAGAAACCTGCAAATGTGGGATTCTTTTTTTTTTAAATTTATATTCAATTGTTACCTTTCTGCATTTGTAGTACAAGCCAAAAACCCTGCGTCTTACATTTGAAGAAGGAGTCCAATGCTGAAGGTAAACTTGAAGCTTTTTGGTTATTTAAGTTCAAGTCACTTGTTGCGGTATTTTCTTGTTTTTATTTGCACTCATGTTAAAGAGGAAATAGGTGAAATAAATGAGGTTATATAATCTATGCACAATAAAAGTAATTAGAATGATAGCAGGAGAGAATATAAGGTGGCAAAGGAAGTAATTTGCTTACGTTGTTAAGCTTGGATCAGAAATCAAGCATTTCTTATAGATGGCTATACTAAAGGGTTGGGATCGTCGGCGCACCACATGGCACAGCGGAAACAAAACTCGACGGTCTCACCAACGATCCAAGTACAAAAACTGAAATCGGGAGGAAGATGTGAATACTTACAGCGGGTTCCTTGAAAAACAGTAAGGACACAGTAAATACTGGCGGTGTAGATCGGTTCGAATCGTAAGCCTCCACGAAATCACGTCTCGGCCTCTACTCAGTTCACCCGATTGAGAGCAATTTTGTTTTCTCCCAAAACCGTTTTGAGAGAAATGGCTTAAAGGTTTTGTGTTTCTCTAAAAACAGTTGCTAAACCTAACACACCCTTTTATAGCCAAGTTACCCTAATCATATTAGGGTTTTTATTATTTCAAATTAATTAAATCTATATTTAATTAATTGGAATTTAATAATCCTTTTATATCCATGTTACCCAAATCATATTAGGGATTTTATTATTTCAAATTAATTAAATTATATTTGATTAATTGAAATTAAATATTTGGGATTATTAAAACATATACTTAATTAACTCTAGATATATTTCGTAATGCACAACAAATTGTACATCTTTACTTCTTTCAATCCTAGGGTGTGACCCTGTAGGTTCTTGTAACGTTAGCAGTAATTATTAGAACAATTCTAATATTACATACAATGAGTGACATCTAGCAATATATCATTGTCACCTAAGTTACAAGAAAATTTGATTCGACATATCATCTTGGTGATTAACTCTTAAATGTTTTACATCCTTATGTCCTTTATATCTAGAATAGGCACATGTCTTGGAATAGTCACACTTGTATAGCCCATCTATGTTTCTTGATATCTAGAGTAGACTTTAATTAACGAATAGTTTATGATATCATATCAACTTATTTGAGCATGGCCATGTGTTTCTAATCGTACTCAATCAAGTGGCATGTGATATGTTTCCTATTATGTAGGAAGGACAAATCATATCTTAATCATACACACCCACTACATATATTGAGATATATTCAATAACAGTCTTTATAGAGCAACCAGTTATGGTGCTTGTTTAGCTGCATCAAAACATAAACAATATATGTTGGGATAGATTGATCTCAAGTCTGAGGATCATACATATAGTCATCACCATGAGCAATGTTATGACTGTCACATAATAATCCAAGACATATGCTCATGGTGAGTTAATCCAATACATTGATCTCTAACAATATAATAATGTATCAATTCTGACATCTCTACGTCAATGACAACTCGTTTTCATCAATCAATAACATGTTATTCTTAAGAGTATTATTATTGTCCATGCCGATAATAATACTTGACTAGCGATCTTTTAATAATAACAATTATGTCATTATATGGACTTTATTATCTTCCAGTTTATGTTAAATACATATATATAACTTAAAATAATAGCAGCAATGCCTTTATTCAATAAAATCGGTAAATAAAAGTATTATTACAATCATCATATGATTGGTTTTTGGCATACTCTAACAATCTCCCACTAGCACTAAGACCAATCACTCACATATATAATATCGAGTGACTCATTGTGACGATCATGTGTAAGAGGCTTCGTCAAGGTATCAACAATGTTGTCATCCATGTGTACTCTACATATTTCCACATCTCCTCGATCAATAATCTCTCGAATGAGATGAAAACGCCTAAGAATATGTTTGGATCGTTGATGAGATCTGGGTTCCTTTGTTTGTGCAATGGCTCCATTGTTGTCACAACGGAGTTCTACAACATCTGATATGCTGGGAACAACCCCTAATTCCATTATAAACTTCTTGATCCAAACAACCTCTTTTGCTACTTCACTGACTACAATGTATTCAGCCTCTATTGTAGAATCAACTATTGTGTCTTGCTTTGAACTTTTCCAGCTCACAGCACCTCCATTAAGACAAAACACAAAACCCGATTGCGATCGTGAGTCATCCTTGTCAGTTTGGAAGCTGGCATCAGTATAACCTTTTATACAAAGCTCTTCATCCCCTCCATAAACAAGAAATTTATCCTTAGTTCTTCTTAAGTACTTAAGGATATTTTTAACTGCAACCCAATGATTTTCACTAGGGTTCGCTTGATACTGACTCATCATGTTTAAAGCATACGATACATTTGGTCGAGTACATATCATGGCATACATGATAGAACCAATAGTCGAAGCATATGGAATCTTATTCATCCGTTCTCTTTCTCGTGGAGTTAAAGGACACATTTCCTTCAAAAGAGAAATGTCATGTCTCATAGGCAAAAATCCTTTCTTGGATTCTTTCATATTGAACCTTTTCAGCACTTTGTCTATATATGTACTTTGACTTAGACCTAGAAGTCGTCTTGATCTTCTCTATAGATCTTAACTCCTAAGATATACGATGCCTCACCCAAATCTTTCATAGAAAAACAACTACTTAACCAAGTCTTAACAGACTGTAAAGTAGGTATATCATTTCCTATGAGGTATGTCTCTACATACAAGATTATGAAAAAAACAATGATCTACTAGCCTTCTTATAAACACAAGGCTATCTTCATTTCTGATAAAACAAACTCTTTGATTGCATCATTGAAACGAAGATTCAGCTTCGAGAAGCTTGTTTAGTCCATAAGTAGACCTCTGTAGCTTACAAACCTTTCCAGTATTTCCTGAAAAGACAAACCTTCTGGTTGTGTCATACATATCCTCTTCAGGTTTTCCATTAAGGAAGTTAGTTTTGACGTCCATTTGTCAGATTTCATAATCATGGAATACAACTATTGCGAGCAAGATCCAGATGGACTTACACATATCTACAGGGGAGAATGTTCCGTCATAGTCTACACCATGAACTTGTCAAAAACCTTTAGCGACTAATCGGCCCTTGTATGTTTGTACATTACCATATATGTCGGTTTGACCCCTTCAGGTGGTTCAACCAAAGTCCATACTTGGTTTACTGACATGGAATCCATCTCAGATCTCATGGCTTCAAGCCTTTTCTCAGAGTCTGGGCTATACACTGTCTCTTGATAAGTCCTGGGCTCATATTGATCCATAAGAAGAACATTTGCATGTGTCGTAACAAGAAATCCAAATCTCTCAGGTGCACGGTGTTCTCTTGTAGATCTACATAGTGATTGTGTTTCTAAATCTGTTGAATGCTCCTCAACAACTTGTGAAACATGCTCAACTTCATGTTCATTTATTTGTTGCTCTTGAACTTCTCCGAGTTCAATATTTCTACTCTTCCTTTTCTTTAAGAGAAATTCTCTTTCGAGAAAAACTCATGTTCGAGCAACAAACACTTTGTTCTCGTTAGGGTTGAAGAAATAGTATCCCTTAGTTTCTTTAGGATATCCAACAAATATACATTTATGAGATTTAGGTTCAAGCTTTGTAGACATCTGATGTTTTATATAAGCTTCACAACCCTAAATCTTCATAAAAGGCATACTGAGACATTTCCCAGTCCATATCTCGTATGGTGTCTTTTGAACCGATTTAGATGGAACACGATTTAGTGTGAAAGCGGTTGTTTCAAGTGCATGTCCCCAAAAAGAAGTTGGAAGATCACTATGACTCATCATCAATCGAACCATGTCTAACAGTGTTCGATTCCTTCTTTCAGAAACTCCATTCCACTATGGTGTACCAGGTGGTGTAAGCTGTAAGACAATCCCACATTCTTTTAGGAGTTCATCAAACTCTATGCTTAAGTATTCTCCACCTCGATCTGGTCGAAGTGCCTTAATACTCTTGCCTAGTTGATTTTGTACTTCATTTTTAAATTCCTTAAATATTGCAAGGGCTTCAGATTTATGGCGCATAAGATAAATATACCCATACCGACTGAAGTCATCGGTAAAAGTAATGAAGTAATGGAATCCACCTCTGGCTTGTGTATTCATTGGTCTACATACATCACTATGTATTAACCCCAATAAATCACTTGCTCGCTCACCTTTACTATTAAAAGGAGCTTTAGTCATTTTTCCCAACAAGCAAGATTCGCATACAAATGAATCTAAGAATCTATCTTTATGGAGTTTTGATATGCATTTCTCACTTATATGGCCTAAATGACAATGCCAAAGATAAGTTTGATTCGAGTCATTTATTTTTGATCTTTTAGTATTTATGTTATAAATTGTGTTTTCTTGATCCAAAATATAGAGACCATTAACCAATTGTGATGAACCATAAAAAACACTATTGAGATAAAAAGAACAAAAAATATTCTTAATAATAATTTCAAATCTAATCTTGTCCAAACAAGAAATAGAAATAATGTTCTTAGTCAAACTAGGCACATAATAACAATCCTCTAAATTTAAATCAAGTCTACTAGGCAAAGATAAAACATATGTCCCTATAGCTAATGCAACAACTCTTTCTCCATTTCCCACTCGTAGGTCCACGTCTCCTTTAGCCAGATTCATTCTCTTTTGCAGTCCCTGTATAGAAGTACAAATATGAGAACCAAACCGTATCTAATACCCAAGAAGTATATGTGACAAATTAACATCAATAACATAAATACCTGAAACAAACGTTCCGTTTGCTTTTCCTTCTTGACCTCTTCAAGGTAAACAGGGCAGTTTCTCTTCCAGTGTCTGGTCTTATCGCATTGGAAACATTTTCCTTCTTTGCTAACTCCCCCTTTGGCTTTCAATGCATTTTTCCCTTTTGGTTTGGTCTTACCATTGCCCTTAGACTTTCCTACCTTTTTCTTCTCTTTCTTTGTCCTTGTGGACATCAAAATGGGCTTAGGTCCAACCT